TTGAAAGTTTGAGTCAGTCAATCTGATTGTTGCGTACAATTTTACTTGCTTTTCACAGCTTGGCTACACGTCATATTTTCAGCTGCTTTCAGTGATTCTTAAAATGACTTTTTTCCTCCTATGTTGGGGTTGCCAGAGGTTGCCAATCAGTTTACAATTTAAGGTTATTGTTCTCATATAGCATTATGTGTAATTATTACTTGAAATACGTATTTGTTGACATGTAAGAACCACTTAACTGATACTGACAATAAAAGAAGTGCTACCAAATATTCCATAAACTGATGTCTCTTAAATCAAATGAAGGGGGAAGAGAAAGTAAAGGTACTTTTTTCCTTCTCATTTGTTCCAGTGCAAAAATGTGTCTTAGAATTGAAATCCAGAGAATCAAATCTTCAGCTGGAGTAAATAGGAACCGGCTTAAAGAGTTATTAATAGAGGTCAAAATACGGGAGAAGGGAGGTAATAAAAAATGTTGACATTTCCGTTTGGCAGGATTCAAAATAGATCCATTTGCCAATTTTGGCAACATTTTCCATTTGTTTTACCAAATTTTTCAAAAAATGTCTGTGTACTGACAATGCAGTTTGCAGTACAAAAACAGTTTTTGGTAAATGAAAACATTATTTGGATAAAAATAATTTAAAAAAAACATTGAAAATTTCAATAATATTGACGATGTTTTCCAAAAGTTTCATTTTGTAAAGGCTGTTTTTCAATAACACTTTTTTTTGTGCAAATATGTCAACCAGCTCCAGTTACCAGCATGTCTAGTTAATGCTAAATGTTACATTGGTGGCTAGGCCCTTTTCCTCCTTGTTTAAATGTTTTCAGCCATGGCTAGCAGCATCATACCTTCCTAATCTTCACTTCCCCTGCAGGCTTCACTCTCCCCTGCCGTGACTTATCTTCACTTTTTCCAGACACTCTCCAGGGGTTAAGTAGACTATGCAGTTCTGCAAGATTCCTAGAGAACTTAAGAGTGGCCTACCTGGAGGCAATGTTCTCTAGTGGACAGAGCACTGAACTCATGCTCAGGAGACCTGGATTTTATTCCTGGATCAGCCACCGGCCTGCTGTGTGATGTTGAGCAAGTCACATCACCACCCTGTGCCTCAGTTTCCCCATCTGTAACATGGGGCTAGTGTTACCATCCTCCTTTGTGAAGCACTTTGAGATCTACTGATGAAAAGTGCTATGTAACTGCTGGATGTTCTTGTTATCACCTTAAGCATCAAACTTGGAACAGCTGAAGGAACAAGGCCCTTCTGCTGTAATGCATTAGGAGGGTTAACGTCAATCACAAGCCACTGTGGATGGGGCAGAGAATAAAGTGCTTTGAGTTTGCCCAGAGATGAAAGCGCTGAGTTGAATGTAGGCCTTTTTAGCGCTATGATTGAAACCAGGCTAACCACGACCATGTACGAACACAGTATTACGAACTGGGCTGCGGCTCAGTTTCCTTGAGCAGATTGGACAGGGAAACTTTTCTGAGAACCCTGTTGGATAGCCACACCATAGTCCCCACCTTGAGTGGGACTCCAAAGCATGAGCGCAACCATAGACTGACAGGGCTCTAGGGTAAAAATTTCAAAAGCACTTAAGTGATTTAGGAGCCTAAGGCCCATTGACTTTCTAAGAGAGCTAGGAGCCTAGGGCCCAAATCCTCCCAAGGTATTTAGGGGCCTCATTCCCATTTCAGTGGGAGTTAGGTGCCTAAGTACCTTTGAAGTTCTGGGCCTAAGGGCTTAAGTCACATGCGAAAATGTCTCTAGGAACCAGGTGTTTTTACCCTTTGAAGTGGATTTACCAAGGGTCTGAAATGTAGCAATTCTGCATGTCCCATGAGTTAAGCTGCATATAAATAAATGAAGCGCGGCAAGAGTAGCTGTGTGTGTGTGTCGTGGACCTATCTACCGGAACCAAGACTGGAATGTCGTAGATTATGGGAGTCGGGGTGAGTGTCAAATCAGCAGTTGTGGACACATTTTGAATGCCCTCTAGTGGCAGGGCTAGGCTATGTCTACACTAGGAGCGATTCCTAGCTTGGGGACACATATTTGCCTTAGCTCAATGAGAGCTAGCAGGAGTCTAAGTAGTCATGGAGCTGGGTAGCATGGGCAGCGGTTGAGTGTAATATTTCTCTCTCACCTATTTTATCCTGTTCTGTTTAGCAAAGGTTTTAGTATGCTGCTAGTATAATACGAGCCAGCCTAGACACCTATTGTTAACTCGATACACCAGCCTCCTTGGTAACAACAGGAGTAGTTACAGCTCTGGAGGTTCAGCCATCTCCCCTCACTTCCCCCCTCAGGGCTTCCCACAGGAAGTACTGCACACCACACGGTTCCCTCCCCCCGAGCTCTTTGCAGTTGTTGTATTCAGAGCACTGGAAGCTGCCAACATCTGTGAGCAGGTCAGTAAACCCAAAAGTGAGAGAGGGAGTGGTACCAGCTGGCCCCAGATGGGTCAAGTGAATAGGTATGATCTTAAAGGGTGAGAGGGCAAGGCACCTACCATGCATGCACCAAGAGCTACCTCCTGAGCACCTGGGGAAGGGCAATAGGGATACGTCTCGCCTGTCCCTCAGGGGACAGGAGTTTCCATGGTTTCCTCTCTTCCTTCCTCTGGTCTCTCTCTTAAGACTCCTTCCCCACCTCGGCTTTGGCTTAAAGCACAGGGGAAATCTGAGTGGGAGAGCAGCAGCCAGTGTTCCCCCAATACAAGGATGGAGGCCATAGCTTAGCCGGCCTGGATTACATCCCTCCCAGCCTGCTTGGAGTTGCGCACTATGACCCTGCTGGCAGTCGAAGCGTGGGTGGAGGTGCAGCATCAGTCCTGCCCCACGTTCACAGCAAGCCTGGAGGGGCAGGGAGCAGAGAGTTAGAGACCTGCACTGTACAGCTCCTAGCACTGGAGCCATTCCCATGCTGGGCTGCCATGGAAACAAACATACCTTTTGGTGTGGCAGAGAAAGCTCCCAGAATGCTCCATGCTCACGCTGCCCATGAGCTTCCCACACAGCTAGAGGAGGGGAGAGTGTAGCTTCTGGGAAGCGGTTTCTGAATGGGCTAGTTGGAGGGGCAGACCCCATCCTTGCCCTAGGAAACAGGCATTTCTAAGAGCAAGCCTGCTCCCCGGTGACTCGGGCATCCGGCAGCCAGAATGATAGTGTCTCTGGTCCTGAGGAGTATGACAGCCTTCTCCCCTCCAGCCCCAGGTTCTTTGGGAAAAATTGCACCTCAATTGCTGTAGGACACCAGCTCAGCTGGACAGAAAACCTCCAGCTTCCCATCCTAGGAGGAGATAAAGTGTATTAGGCCCCCCTCTCCCCAGCACACTCCTCCAAGACAGCCCAGCCCTCCAGGAGTTGATTTAAGTGGAAGATCCAGGTATAGTCCATTTGTTGGGGACATCAGATCATTCTGCTGCGCCTCCCACCCAAAGGGCTTGGGGTGTTCTGCTGTGAAAGGCCCAGCTGCGTGGCCAGAATGTTCCTGGAACCCCCATCTTTGATAATGACCTTCAGCTGAAGGCCTAGCCAAGGCATGATTGGGCCTTATTTGGCCAGAGGCCCCAGCAGCAGTTGCCTCAGCATTGTCTCCTCCAGCTCTGGGGAGAGGGGTATTTTCTTGGCTTCGAGGCAGCAGCCGGGAGGGAGTTCAGTCTGGGCTGTGGGGAAGCAGACAGTTTTGCTGTAAGTATTCGTGCTGCATGCCTAAGTCAGGGGGCAAAGGCAGGTGATATGGAGAGGAAGTTTGAGTGGGTCCCCGTTTAGCAGGATTAGCCCCTATCCTGACTCCTCTCCCTCTTTTCAGGGGCACAGACAGGAGAACAACTAGCCAGCTGCATTCATTCAGTCTGTTCTCTGCCTTTCCCAGCTCCTCTCCGCTCTGCTTATTGGGGAGGTCAGCTCTAACCCCTGCCCCCATATTGCTGTGGTGCTGACCACCACCACAATCTCTGAATGCTGTGTGTAGTGGCCACAGAGGCTCCTCAGCCATCCCACTCTTATTTGGCTACATTGCTGTGAGGGAGGCTGGGGCACTAGCTGGAAGAGGGCATTTAGCAGAGTCAAGAAGAAACCTTGCCTCTGGCAGTGGCTAAGCAACACTTCAGTCAGCCGAAGCTAGAAGAGCAAAGTGGGAACAGCAGCATGCTCTCCCCCCATCCTTTGAGCTCCACCAGAGGTGGTTTAAAAAGTCTCCCAGAGTTGGTGTGTCTCCCCCCCCGAAATTGACTACTAGAGTGGTTTAAAAAAAAAAAAACCACCCTAAAGTATTTCACAGGTTCTCATTCCACTCTAATTCCCACTCCCAGAGCCCCATTCCACCAACAGGGTCTCCCCAGCCCTGAGCTGGAGCACTTTCCCAATGACAAGTCCCCATTGACACCTGCCCAGTTAACCCCCGACTTTCTCCCCTCGGCAGGAGATACATAAGAGACTCCTATGCTGCCCTCCCTCCCAGTGAGGAACACCACTAGTAGAGTTGTGAGGAGAAAGGCAGTCCTTCAAAGCCTGAGCCACTTTGTCAAGGACTGCAGTCAGACCATACCTACCTGTCGTGCCTCCTGGTCTAACAACCCCAGCTATCAAAGAGGTAGGACTTGTACGCTGCCTGAAATCCACCAAGCTAGGACGGACAGCCAACCAACTCGGGGATTCAGCCCTAACTCCACAACTGCATTTAAATAGCTGAGCAGATGATCACTGCAGGAAGTGGGGGCAGTATCCTTTAACAGTGAAAAGTTCATGGAGGTGTGCAGGGGGGAAGATGAGTGGAGTTAATTGCCTCTTTCAGCTAAGAGGCAACATTTACACTAGGCAGCAGCAGGACTGTTAGAATACCATCAGTTTTCTTTAAGTGGGGAATAGGTGTCTCAGGCTGGTGATTAGGTAAGAGTTGGCTCCTGGTGCAATTAGCCATTCCTATTTAGTGCAGGAGAGGCAAGCTGGCTAGAGCAGAGGAAATGGCACAGAGCGAGCAGACATGGCAAGTTTAGATTTATTTCACTGAGCAGGGAGGTGGAAGGAATAGGACTAACCAGTTAGCTAAACTTAATGGCTTTGATGGCAAAGTCACCTTCCACAGCCAGGTACTCAATGTTCTCCAGGCCCAGCCGATTGGGGAACACGATCTCCTTGTCACCAGCCAGTTTCACGGTCAGCTCTGCTGTGTCAAAGGAGATGCAGATCTGCAAGGAGTAGGCACATTAGAACCAACAACGCAGGCAGCCAATCCCCACCACCTCTTAGAGCTGTGTTAATCAGGAGCCTCCCCAGACAGCATTAGCTACTCTTCCCTTGACTAGTGTCTGTCCCGAGGGGGAGAAAGCCTGATCTTCCCCAGATCTGGCTAGAGGGTACCCCAAAATCTCAAGGGGCCTCACTGGTGCCTTCGCCCGAGTGAAGAGAGGCCTATTTAATTAGTGTGAAGTGCTTTGCTGTATGGCATGAAAAGTGCTGCAGGAATGTAGGGCTAGGAACCCCCTGGGTCCAGAAGGACCCCGGCTCCACAAATCAAGTGCCCTCTTAGCACAGCTTTGTTCCCCACTCCCGGGCCCTCACCTCAGTCTTGTCACCCTGCTGGAAGGGGAAGTCCGTCTCCCTCTCCTCTGTCCCCCACATCCCATCCTCCATGGAGTTGCACACAATGACGTTCACATCCCCGTGGCTGTCGAAGCGTGGGTTGAAGTGCAGCACCAGGTTGCTGCGGTCCTTCCCCACGTTCACAGCAAACCTGGCGTGGAAGAGACAATCAGACACACAATCACACTACGCAGCCCCTCCCACCGGAGTCTGGATCCATCATCTCTGTAATGCAGAGACGGACCTAACAACAGAGAGAGCTGTAGATGGCCGGAGGCAGATTCACCTCTAGCACCTACCCTTGTCATGTGCTAAGGGAAGAAGTCAATCCCCAGTGGTTACCTAAACGATGATGTAACATCTAACCCCTCCCAGGCTTCCCAACTCACCCCTTGGCTTCCGGCAAGATCTTCCCCTTCACTTTGATGCACTCTCCAGCCTGGATATTCAAGTGAGTAGCAACCAGTCCCTAAGGGAGTCAAGCCACAAACATATTAGCCTGCCCGCTCGGGGATCAACAGACCTACTTTCTTGATTTGAAGGGAGGGGCAATACCACAGGGGACACAAGAAATAAGTGCTGAGCGTGACCTGGAGGCCAGACAAGTTCCAAACCACCTCCCATGTTAGTCAGCGACCAGAATCATTAACATGCAACCACAGTTCAGTGACCTATGAAATGAGGGTTGTTGGTCTCCGTCCAGTTCCCATGGGGCAGGACTCCAAGTGTTCCCAGCCACAGGCACTAACTGGCTGATGGCTAGCAGTCTGTCCAGAGGTCAAGGACTGAATGGGCCAGAGACTGGACTAGAGGTGCCCTCATTAGCTGCAGCCCATGGGGATTTGGGGATGTAACACACACCGGGAAGCCTGCACTGCTGCTCCTGCTACCACTTAGGCTTTCCCTGCACTGGAGTTAAGAGGGCTCAATTCTTCCCTGGGAGTCTGCCTTTCTAAAAGAAGCCACTGTTCATTTCTCAGGCACCCGACCCTTTAGCGGTAACTTCCCCGGCCCGCAGGAATTTGAGACTTAACCCTCTTTTAATCTCCCCTCCCCCATTTAAAGCCACGGCTGTTACTGTGCGGCCAGCCATGGTGCAAATCTACAGCCCACCAGCTTGCTGTGCACACGGTCTTGTCTAGACGCTGCTCCTGCGCACTGGAAGCCCTGGAGTGGGGCTTGGCTTGCTAGCTGAAAGCGCTTGCCCATCAGCCAGCTTGCTTGCATACATCCCAGCCTCCACTGCAGAGGAGGAAATGAAGTACATGAAAACACCCACCTTCAGCCCATCGCTACCCCGTCTCCACCAGGTGCCACCCTCCCCGTGCAAGGGGCAGCCGCTAATCCTGAAGGGAGGTGACTTAGATAAACAACCTCCATATCCAGCCTGTGTCTGGACAGAGGCCCCATTCCACCCCCTGCATCAGAAACACAAGTGCCCTCACCTGAGGAACTATTGGAATTTAGCTCCAAACATACCTCAGTAATGACCTTAAGACAGAGACCTGTCACAGCCGGGGTTATATTGCATTAGACCAGTGGAAACAGTAGCATTTGCACCAGTATCACCTCCTCCAGTTTTGGAGAGAGGGTCATTTTCCTTCATTTGGATACAGTTTTCCCTTTTACCCCCTCCTCCAGGAGGTGGGAACGAGACAATTCAGAGCCTAGGAACAGCGGCGACATTTCTCTCTCCACCCCTCACCGCCAGGCAGACCTTCCCAACCCCTGTGTTACAGGGCACAGAGAGTCAGTGACGAATGGAGAGGCCAGATCTCTCAATTTAGTGGAGCTGCCCTAGGCGCTGGCTGTTCCGGAAACTTGAACTGTCCTCATTTCAGTGGGATCAGCCAAGAGGATATCCAGCCACCTGCATAGTCTATTCTGTTTTGTCCAGATCTCCCATTTTCACCGGAATGCTGAGCTCAGACCAGCTACTATCTGTAGATTGCTAAACAGCTTATCACCATAGTATCTAAGCCCTACTTATCCTGGCTCCCTAGTCATCCCCTTTTATTCTGTTTCTGGAGCACAGGCTGAAACATGGTCCGATCGCAGAATCAGGGAGGAGGCAGCCACCAAGACTGAGGAAGGTAGGCAATATTTAAGAGCGGCATTTCTGAGCTAGAGAGGGCTGAAAGGCCAAGGTTGGGTCGATCACCTGCCCCTGGGAACCTGTAGTTCCCAAAAGGGCTGAGTTGAAGGGGTTTTATTTTAAGTTAAAAGAACCAAAAAAAAAAAAAAGCTTTATACCGGCATGAAATGTTTTACAATCTTCAACAACTGTTTTGTAAGAGTTCGCAAGAAAAAAAATGGTACTTTGATCTTCTTTCCAGACTGTCTAAGACATTGGAAACATTAGTATAGTTACTGACACCACAAGTGCTGAAAACTGTCAACATAAATAATAAGTGGCCCATCGTGAACACTTTAAAACAAAAGCTACTTGGAAATATCTTGCAAAATAAAAATTCATCCGTCTCTAGTGTTCCTTCCCTCCAACGTCATAGTCCAATCGTGCATTTTCCTACTATCACTGACATATGGCCCAACCCAATACCCACATTTCCCCTCAGAGAAATTCTTCTATTCCATGATGCAACAGAATAAGAGCCCTGCAGCTCACCCTGGGGGAGCCTTAAGAGAGAAGTCACATGAGTGGGGTGTATGTGTACCAGAAGTCTGGTCACCCAGCATGTGATCCACAGCTCTCCCAAACACCCTCGCCAGCAGTTAACCTTCTTCCAGGATTCCACGCCTAGCTAACTATCCCCTTGTCTTGCAAGTAAAACCCGAACCCTTTCCAGCTCAACAGTCTCAGCTACAAAGAGACAAGACTCACACACTCCATGCTGCTGACTGAAGCCACCAAAGTTAGGACAACTGCTTGCTTTCCAGTTCCAAGATTCAGCTGTGTGACTCAGCACTCTCTCTACAGGGCCTTTAAACAGCTGGCCTGGGCAGCAAAGGGCTCACATGATTAAATGGGTGGGTGGGGCTGGTGGAGAGTCAGTTCTTCTTCCAAACTTCAGGCATACAAAGAGAGAATAGCAGACCAGCATCAATACAGTATTAGGTTTGCAAGGCTGAGCTTTTTCAGCCGAGCAGTAGCATTTGCACTGGCTGGCAGCAGCGCTGTTTCTGATCAATATCCCCAGTGTGCTTTAAAGAGACAGAGAACATGCATGAATCTCAGGGATGGTAGTTATAGAATCGTTCGCTCCTGGAACAATTCACTGCACCCATGCTAGCTAACTGAAAGCCAGCTTGTCCACGCATAACCATCCCTCCAGCAGCTGCTATGCCAGAGTATTGTGGCACCTATCCTACAGTTCGAAGGCCAGCCAGCTCCATGCGTGCAGTGTTGTGCCTTTGAAAACATACTGGCTAAGGCAGGGATGTGGGAGTCTAAAGGATATGGTTCTAATCCTGGCTTTGCTGCTGCGTCTCCATTTACTCATCTGTAAAATGGGAGAAATAATTCTCATCTCGCTGACAGAATGTGTGTAACGAGGCCTGATGCTTGCAAAGCATTCTGGGATTCTTCGGTGGAAGGGGCTATAGCAGTGCAAAGTATTATTGCTATTGGCAATTAAATAGAAGTATGGCTATAGACAAGGATGGTATTAAAAAGTGTGTCTAAAAATCGCAGCCGTTCGTGTGGGGCACCAGTAAAACAAACTGGGAATCCAGCCTCCAGCTTTTTCACACAGCGTGGCCTAGCCAGTTTTGATCTGCCTGCACTAGAATCCGGGGGTGGGCAGGAGCCAGGCTGTGGTGTGAGCTGAGGAAAAGACGTGGCAGAAGGAAATGCAGCCAGCAAGGGAAGGATTGTTTGTCAGTGAGCCGCTACCACACGTTATTCCCCTGTACAGGTCTCTTGGCAGAGCCATAATGTCGTGGCCCCATCAGGATTCTGCAAAGAGGAGTTGAGAGAGATGGGTTTTGTTCCTGGCTCTGCCGTGGGCTTTCCAAGTCACTTAGGCCCAGATCCACACAAAGACATCCACGCTGCAGCTGGGAGCCAGCTTCCCAGACAGGGACTAGTGCACTCAAAATAGCAATGTGGAGGTTGTGGCGTGGGCCAGCCTGACACTCCGGGACCAAACTCAGGTGGCTAGCTACATCCACGCTGATGCTGCCCATCAATCGGTCTAGTCTACCCATGATGGGAGGCATGGTCCCGGCTCCAGTGTAGACATACCCAAAGATATTTAGGCACTTAACTGCCACAATCAGTGTTAAGTGTAACTAAATACCTTTGAGGATCTGGGCCTTAACTCCTCTGTGCCTCGATTTCCCCCTTGGGGATTACTAGACCTACTTTACAGTGGTGGTGTAAGAGTTGGTTAATGTTTTGCAAAGTGCTTTGTGAGCCCTTCAGATGGAAGCTGCTCTAGAAGGGCAAAATACCATTATCTGTTTGGTGAGCAATGACTAATGGCTGAGATGGCTATCCACAGTCACAGAAGGGCTGTCAACACTGGACTTGTTTAGGGTGTGGGTGAAATTGAGCAAAGGAATTTATGGCTGAATAGCAGAGGGAAATGTCCTGCCAGTGGCGTCTACATCAAACTCAAGTGTCCCAAACTCCCTCTTCTATTAATCACCCTCAAATCCCAAACCTTAGTTATCTGAATGTCCAAGTGTCCCCATGACAGAGTGGGAATCACGCCTGTACTGCCTTTGAGCTGGGAAAGTCTCCCACCCCCATGGGAAGTGCTTCTGAAAGCCACATCCCATCAGACAAAGCACTAGAAGAAATACTGAGGGAAACTATACTTTGGGATGTAAGAAGATGGACTGTGGGCAGGCCTCTTCACACATGCAGATGCCCCACTGAAATCAAAGGGCTTTGCATGGGCACAAGGGGTCTCTGTGTGTGGAGCTCATTGCAGGATCAGAGCCTTAGTGACCTATCTCCTGCCTGCTTAGGGCCTGATCCAAAGCCCATAGGACCTGATCTACACACCAAAGCTGCACTGGCTTAACCTTAAAGGTGTGGTTTTTCAACTGATTTAGTTAAACAGTCTCATTCTCCCGTGTGGAGACTCAAATCAGTTTCAGCCTGTCTGATTTATAGGGGGTTAACTTGCATTAGTGAATTTACAGGCACAAGCTCACCGGATTAAAAACTGTTTTAAACCAATATAAAAGCTTCAAGATGGGGGTTTGCCCCAGTTGAACTCAGTTGGTTTTCAAACCAACGTTAATTAAACCGGCGTGAAGTCTGTGTGTGGATGAGGCTGAGTGCTCTGATTTCGGTTGGTGGTGGTTGGATGTGTGCGGCCCACTATAAATTCTGTCCGGGTTTTTGTGGTGTTTTACATTCAAATCCATGGCCAAATCAGTGTAATTATTCCAGAATAAAGTCACTTCTATCCCCGAACAGGAGAGTTATTCTGGAATAGCTAAATCATATTGGAATAGTTATTCCAGAATAGCTATGCTGGTGAATTTTGTGTCACGTGCACAAGACCTAAACAACCTGGAAAGGCCTTGCCACTAGCATTTTCTCTTCTCCCTAACCCTCTGCTCCCTCCCTTCACTATTCCTGGAGCTCTGCCATGATTGTCTCTGCAAACCAGGCTGTTCCTTCCCCCGGCCCTGTGGTGCCACAGCCGTGATTTGCTGGTGTCACTGCTTTCACTGTTAAAGCACATCTTCCTCATGAACAGCCTGCTGGTCTAGCCTCAGCTACCCGTGCCCTTAAAGGCTGTTCCTTTAAACAAGGCGATAGCTTTATAATTGCAGAGGCAAACCGAACTGAGGATTTTCCTCAGCGCACCAGTGGCAACGAGGGGTTGGAATGATGTTCAGGACCAGAACGGGGTCAGCGGCAGACCCTCTGCTCTGTGCTAATGTAATGTGCCACCGCTCTCATGCCAGGCTGAGGAAGCAAAGCACTCGGCGCGGGGTCAGAGAAGAAACCCGGAAGTGTCTGCAATGCCAGACTGGCTCCCTCCTCCCTAGAAGATTCTTCCACAAACCTCTCTTCCGTGGGGAGGGGAAGGAAGAACTCCGCCCCTCCCCACTTTTCCACAGGGTGAGAGAAAGAAAAGGACCCCTGGCAGCTCCCCATCCCCTCCAAGGGCTTTGTAGCAGGACAGATGGGGAACCCTCCTCTCCGCGTGAAAAAGAATTTGCTCAGCACCTTGGATCCTCTGCGCCATGCATGAGGGAAGGGAGGGAGAACCCATCACCTTCATCTCCATCCAGGGGGAAAAGGGACTAAACCAAAGCCCCTTTTCCACCCACACCCCAGACTCCTTCTGCCGCTGGGGGTGGCTCTGTGCCTGGGGATGCCAGCCAGGTAGACAGCCCCACCAGCAGTGAGTGGACGAAGCTTTTCTGTTGCTGCTGGCTGTGACCAATAGGTGTCACTCTCAGAGCAAACACCAGCTGGGTGAGGATATGGAGAACAGAGAGGCAAAGAAGAAATAAAGAGCCCCTCGTAACACCCTTGCAGCAAGAAGCCTCAGTGCAAAGGTGCCTGGAGTAAACCACCCACAATTGCTGCCAGGGAGAAAAATGCAACATTCCCACTGTGTGTGGCACTAAATTCAGTCCTCACATAAACACAACTGAAGACACCAGAGGCCCTAACATACTGCTCTGGGCACCTCCCCAAAGGCCCAAACTATCCCCACCACAGGGCTAGTAAGGATTTCCCTCAGGCAAATTGTTTCCTGAGTGTTTCCTCAGGGGCAAGGGGAACAGGAGATTCGGACCCCCACAATGCACAGATCCCCACATGCCTGCGGCTTTCAGAGGAATCTGCTGCATGCCGGAGCCATCCAAATGGAGGCTGCCTCCCCGCGCCCTCCGGGCTCCCTCTGCTGCTCACCTCCTGGGACTGTGCCTCAGCCCCCTAGCCCCTTCTCTGAGGGGGCCGGCTCGGAAGGGCCCCTTGCACCATTTACCACTCGTGGAGCCACTGCCTGGAGGGGGGTTCACGTGGAGCCACAAGGCAGCTCTTGGGGAGGATGTGGGGGGTTGCGCTTGGAGAGCTGCCGCTGAGCAGTGTTATATAAGAGCTAGGTGGTATTTATCACTAAATACTATTAGTATTTATCACCATTATCCGAGATGAGCAGCCGCCCTCAGAGGCGCCATCTGTTTCCCCGGCACCTACGCCCAGCTTTGTTGCTTTGTGCTGCGCCCACACGCAGCACCACTTGTTTGTTTATTTGCATTTTTTTTCTAAATTATTAATTGACTGAAATTGAAAAAGAAACAACAAAGGTGGGACAAAGGCCCCGTTCCTTGTAAAAAAAAAAAAAAACCAATGGGTTTGCAGAAGCTGCATCCTCCTTTGCATCTGTTCACGTCTGGGGTGGGGCTGGCATGCTTCACAAGCTGCGCTGAGGGGGGTGGCTGCCGGCTCGGCGGCTCCTTAGAGCTGGAGTAACAAAGGGAATTCTACTCCCTTAGCTCGTCACAGGTGCCTTGTGAGCACTAGGAAACAATCAGCCTGCAGTTCTGCCCCGGTGGGGTTTGCAGCAGCAGGGTGAGGCTGGGCTTGTAGCGAAAGGCACTGGACTCAGGAGAGCGGCATTCAAGTCCCAGTTTTACCAAATATCAGGAGTTGGCTGTGTTAGTCTGTATCCACAAAAACAGCAAGGAGTCTGGTGGCACTTTAAAGACTAACAGATTTATTTGGGCATAAGCTTTCGTGGGTAAAAACCTCACTTCTTCAGATGCACCCACCGGCACCAGAGAAAGTTGGCGCTGCCACCCCTGACCACCATATTTTTACTGCGTTGTTTTGTGTAGACCAGGCCTTGGGCACAGAGAGTCTATGGCCCAGATGTGCAGGGGGTTTTAATACCTCTCTGTGCCCCAGTTCCCCATCTGTAGAGTGGGCATAATAATTAATCCTTCCTTTCTTCCACCCTTTGTCTGTCTTGTCTAGTTAGACTGTGGGGCA